TTTTGAAAAGTTTCTAGTAATATTCGATGAATAAAAGTAAATTTAATAAAAGGTATATATGTAGAACAGGGCAAGGCACAAAGGTCCAATTTGACTTTAAGCAAATATAAATTTTATTATGAAAATCAAACCAATTACATCACAACAAATGACACATTTCAAATGAACAATTATCTGACTACGTTCAGTAAAACTACCAGCTACTTCATCATTGTAAAAACGTGCTTTTTTGCTGTCTTTAAAAATTTTTTTATCTAGACCTTTTTACCCTATAACGGGGTAACTTGGAACGGCCAGATGGCAAGCAGGTCTAATGTCATATTTAATGTTCATATTTTAATTTCAAAGGTATTTTACAAAATAATTACATTTTCAACTAATTGCTAGAAAACTACCAATGGAAGAAAATACTTTTACTATGGATTTTCAAAGATTACCATTTATCTCCCAATACCAAAGTCATAAGAATCAAGGTTATAGCTGATTATACACATTTTTCCCTTTACATTCAAATACTGTTGTTAAACAATGCTTAGCTTTACTGGTTTTTGACACTTCGGTCGTGGATCTTCATATATTACTATCCATTCTTGAATAAATTCAGGAAATTATAACTGGAAATAAGCTATTCGACAAAATGTTCCTTTGATCGATTCCAAATTTAGGTTCTAAATCTGAATAATCTAGAAAAGGTTTTATAAATACCAATGAGTACATAATTATACAAATGAGTTCTTTCAGAGCATTGTGTTTGAGAAAAATATGATTTGTCAACCATACTGAGTTATACATAGTTCGCTTCACTGTTTATACGAATGGGCAATGGCACTATCATTATATTATAATTGTTAATTATTTATTTAAAATAAATAATTTTGTTATTAATTCCTTACAAATATTGAATTGTCATCCATACGTGATTACATAGCTGTCATTTGCTTGTTGTTATTCCAAGTCGAACGGGATAAAAGGTATCCTATGTCCTTCTCCTGGCTCTGAACCAACTTTTACCAACTTTACCAAAGCCAATTTTCAGTTAAATCGGTTCAGCCTTCTTGAGTTATAAGTTCCGACGATATAACTCCAGAATGCACAAACCGAATTCGACAATTTTGCATTCGCTGGAAAGGTCTGGGGCTCCGTGAGGTTTATAGCTGGGTTATAATATATGAGAACCAAAAACTAATATTTTATCACTATAGTTAACTTAAGGTAGTTGATTACTTCAATTAGACCTTTTTATTGTCGAATCAAAGCACATTTGCTGATAATATATATATGCCAATTAGTTGTAAACACCTGAAACATTTTATAAGATATGTATAAAGAAATTACAAATTAACAACAATTAATGTATAACTATTTACATTTTTATTACAAATTTTGAGGTTATGTCAAGAAACTATATTTCAGAATATTTTTTTTTATTAATTTGTTGATGATTATACTTATTGCTGATATATAATATAAACACCTCAAATACTCTATTTAAATACGTATAAACAAATATACATAAATACCTAATTATATAAATAATTACATTTCCATTTTCAAGAAATAAATTTCCCCATCGTCCATCTAGCATCGCTTGCTATTATTAAGAATTAATTTATTTGCCACTTTGTATTAATTTTCCGTGGCGATTAAAATATTTATATTATTCACGTAATAATTTTCAAATAATGGTCATTAAGAAATGCATATTAATATATTTGTATCAAAACAGAAACACCGAATGACAGTTGACAATCGAATGTAAATGTCATGGATGAAATCATTGATAGTATCATAGATTGAATAAACTACATGGATAGTTTATAAATAATTAATTTTGAATTAGAATGAAATAAAGGGATAAAAAGTATCCTAAGTCCTTCTCCTGGCTCTAAACTACCTCCCTGCCAATTTTCATCTAAATCGGTTCAGCCGTTCGTGAGTTATAAGTGTTATAACATAAAGCGATCCTCTTTTATATATATAGATTTATATATATATATATATATATATATATATATATACATATATATATAATATATATATATATAACACTATAAGCCCATACAGCATCACTATTAAATATCCATAGAAAATCCAGAAGTTTAATAATACCATTATTTGACATTTGGTGTTATTATCTTCATACGGACGTAATCAAAATCCTCTATATATGATCAATGATTTTACAACAATTAACAAATAAGTTCAGATTACAAACTCTAATCTAATTATTATATCATATTCAACATGTTTTGTTATAAATTATTCAATTATTTCAATATTAAACGTTTAAATATAAAACGTTGAATAAAACTATATTTTTATTCGGCTACTTTTGTACCATGTTATCCCTATTATTTATTAATTAATTAATTATTAATTTAATTAATCAATAATAAACCTTATTATTTTGACTATATGTGCTTCATTTTAGTTTTTATATTTTTGTATAATTATTTATTTACTTATTTATAATATAATAAAATACTAGTTTGTAATACCGAACTCATAATATTATAATGCGTGTAATTAAATAATACATATTTGTTTATAAAATATTGAATACAATTTAACTCATTTTTAATATTATTGTAATACGAGGTCGTAATATCCACGCTTTATGAATTAAAAGTGAGAAAAATTCTCAGTGCACCAATTAAGTACACAACTTACTTTACATTACATATTTGTTAATAAAATATTAAATTCAAGTCAAATTTATATGTAAATAGACTTCCTTCATACCAATTTGTTCAAATAATGTTTTAAAATTGCCGCGTAATATCACTGAGCAACTTAATTCTATATTAGCTTATTAACTTATTGATAACACTGAGCAACTTCATTTTATATTAGCTTATTAACTCATTTTTAATATTATTATAATACTAGATCGTAATACCCACGCTATATGAATTAAAAGTGAGAAAAATTCTCAGTGCACCAATTAAGTATACAACTTACATATTTGTTGATAAAATATTGAATACAAGTCAAATTTATATGATAAAAGACTACCTATTTACTAATTTGTTCAAATAATGTTTTAAAATTGCCGCGTCATTTCACTGATTAACTTCATACTATATTAGCTCCTATTGAAATAAATTGATAAAATGATAAAATATAAAATGATGAAAATAATAAAAACGAAGATAAAACGTTTAATAATATCTGTTCTTCCTCGAATACATTTGTACCATTTTGTTTAAAAAGTTGTTTAATTAATTAACTTAATTATTCTGACTATATGTGCTTCTATAATTTTTTTTATATTTAATTATATATTTACTCATTTTTAATATTATTATAATTATTAACTCATCTTTATTATTATTATAACACTAGGTCGTAATTCCCACGCCATATGAATTAATATGTTTTAATTAAGTACACAACTTATATATTTGTTGATAAAATATTAAATTCAAATCAAATTAATATGCTAATAAACTTCGTTTATACTAATTTGCTCAAATAGCGTTTTAAAATTGCCGCGTCATATCACTGAGCAACTTCGCACTGCATCAACTCCTATTGAATTAAATTTACAATGTATAATTGCAAATTTAAAACTCGCGCGATGTGACATCACCGCTCGCTCACATGTTGCACAAATTAGTTAATAATTTTTGTGGTGGCAACACTCCCCCACCACCTCTGAACACCCTCAGTTATCAATCGTCTTTAGTATGAGACGGACCTCCCCAGTGATAAGAACAATGGAAGAAAGTGCTTTGGATTATCAAGGTAGGATTTTTAATTACTATAAATCAATCTATACATGAATATATTTGAACTATATTCGATAATTAGATGTTATCAATTAGTTTAATCATATATTCAACCTAGATTTTGATTTGAATTAATATAATTATTAAGTTATTTATCCTAAAAGTGAATTTCATTTTCATGCTGAACCCAAGTGACGTTTCCGACGCGTGCATCAAAAGAAATCGTGATGCATCCTTGATTTATAACGACTTATAACTAATTTTAATAATGATTTCAGTGATTTATTTAAAGTTTTATCGTATTTTAGAAATATTTGTGATAAAAAAGTGTATTTTTAGCATCTAGTACCATGTGCACGTGGCGACTAAATATAAGGCATCCACGCATATGAATGCTTTATTACGGCTCCTAATTACCTATTTAATAAAGATTAATTATTATTTTCCAACAATTTTGATTTTGACGCCGCCTTCAAAAGGCTTTGCGTGCAGTAGACGCTCAGCGTGAAGGTGCCGATACACTGTAGAGAAATATCTAGGTAGAGTGTAGACTCTCTTGCTAGTGCGCTCTACCGTTGTCTGTACACTGTAAAGTGTTTTTTTCTTCCGAGAGCTCTTTCGTACTCTAGGAGAGAAGTAGGTGAAAGGTGCTAGAGCAACTCTACCTAGACACTCTAAAAAGCTATGTACACTTGTGGCTATATATATTAATATATATTAATCTAGGTAGAGTGTAACTTTGACAAGTAGACTATAGAAGTGAACTTCGTATTTGAGGTTAGTTCTTGTGAGACAATTGACAATTTTATTAGTGCATATTAGTTAGTGTATAGTTATTATAATAAAGCTATGTACACTTGTGGAAAAATATATTAATAAATATTAATCTTGGTAGAGTGTAAATTTGACAAGTAGACTATAGAACTGATATATATAGAAGTGAACTTCGTATTTCAGGTTAGTTCTTGTGAGACAATTGACAATTTTATTAGTGCATATTAGTTAGTGTATAGTTATTATAATAAAGCTGTGTACACTTGTGGAAAAATATATTAATAAATATTAATCTTGGTAGAGTGTAAATTTGACAAGTAGACTATAGAAGTGAACTTCGTATTTCAGGTTAGTTCTTGTGAGACAATTGACAATTTTATTAGTGTATATTAGTTAGTGTATAGTTATTATAATGAGTTCCCGGCGAAAACAAGGTTTAGCAGCATTGGTGGTATATAGTTTAGTTAAAAAAAGAAATAAGACAGTAAAAAAAAAATGTGGGTTAGGGAATGGATTGCCAAAAGAGAAGAAGAGGGAGTTTATGCAAAGTTGTTGAAAGAACTTGAGTATCAAGACGTAAGTTCTTATGAAAATTTTATAAGAATGACCCATCAGGATTTTCAGCATTTGCTGGAACGAATTGCTCCAAGAATTACAAAACAAGATACTCACCTAAGAAAATCAATATCACCATCTGAGCGGTTAACACTGACACTGAGATTTCTTGCTACTGGTAAGTGGTATAAAACAATTATTTAAAATAATACAAAAACATTTTTTTTACTATTTATTTATAAAAATTGTACCAATATTAATTGTAAATAAATTCTATTATAGGTGACAGTTATCAGTCATTAAGTTATTTGTTTCGGATTCCACCAACAACTATTTCTCGCATTGTTCCGGAGGTGTGTGATGCTCTGTACTTGGAATTGAAAAATGATTATTTGAAGGTATGAGAAAATGTTACATTTTGTCATAATATTGCGTTAAAGTAGTCTCGTTTTGCGTTGGAGAAATTATCTGGCATATTACTGGAGTGCTCGATGAACCGGAGTACTCACTCAAATTACTCAGAGACAGCATAGACTGTGAACTGGGGGAGGATACTCCTCGCATGTTGACTTCCTCATGTGCGTCTAAAATAGCTCTCTGAATCTTAAGTTTTAATTTATTTCGGATATCTTCATAGGGTAATACTCTCAACTCTGCAGTAACAAACTCTCCAAATACATCCAAGTGATCTTTCGGAGCTCGTAAACAAGCTAAAGCTTCATTCAGCAACTCATCATCCTTTTTAACTGAATCGGGTGCCCGTTTTTTATTTTTATGAGGTTTTGTAACAGGAGTCTGCCAAGACCCAGAATTATCTTTCATTTCCTCATCATGATGGTCCTAAAAAAAGTTAAAATAATAAATGAAAATTAAATGTTTTGTTCTTTTTTTTTACAGATTTCTTGTACATCAGAGGAGTGGGAAAATGAAGCAAAGCGATTTGATGCTACTTGGAACTTTCCAAATTGCATAGGAGCTATTGATGGAAAACATGTGGTAATGAAGGCACCAGAAGACTCAGGAAGTCTATATTATAATTACAAGGGGACACATAGCATTGTATTAATGGCTCTAGTGAATGCTGATTACAAATTTTTGTACATAGAAGTAGGTTGTAATGGGAGAGTGTCAGACGGGGGTGTATATGCAATTGTTCACTATCTAAGTGTTTGAAAACAAGTCATTGAATATACCCGAAGCAAAGCCATTACGTGGCCAGTCAGTTCCGGTGCCATATGTCATTGTTGCCGATGACGCTTTTCCGTTAAAACCTACATTATGAAACCATTCCCTTTTAGAGACCAACCTGTTGAAAATCGCGTTTTTAATTAGACTTTCTCGAGCACGTCGAGTGGTAGAAAATGCATTAGGTTTGCTTTCGATGCGTTTTTGTTTTCTTAGAAAGCCAGTTGAACTATGTCCTCAGAAAGTATGAAGCTAGTTCAAGCTGCTTGTGTGCTACATAATTATCTAATTGAAAAAAAG